CTAATGAATATATTTAGGACATTTCAGTATATCTTTAATCGTCAATTTAATCACCACGAATTTAATTAATATCCTTAATTGCAGTGGCAAATACAAATTTGCCTTTGCGACTAACTGCACGACTTTTTCAAATCACTTGGGAGTGCTGATGAAGCCTTGGCGCGATTGAAACTATCATCTACCTTTGATGAAAAGCCTTTTAGGAGGCAAATAAAAGAGAAATCTAATGGTATCGTGATGTCCTCAATTAAATCATTATGGGAAATGCAACTATAGGTTCATGCAATCCAGGGTTATTTAAGTTCTTATATTTATCGTTAACTTACTATGTGAATCTGAGTCACCTTGTGCCATTTTAGCTTTCGTTTCCTTAATTTTTGGCTATATTTAATTTTTCATTTAATAAAACCCAGAGTTCATTAAAATGCGCCGATAAAAGAGTGTATTTAAGCTCATATTGCTTGAGTGCCACTTTACTTTATTTTAATTCCATTCCAATATTCAAACTCGATTATTTATTTATCTGTCATTATGTGTATACATACATGAAAAACAAAGAAATATTACCGTCAGTTGAAGTTGAGTCTGAAACTGTAGTATATTTGTATAGAGCAGGTTTTGAAAATATAAATTAATCTTGAATCAGACTTCTAGTCATCATAAGTCGGAGGTGATGAAGGACTGTTGAATTTTCCCACAATTATATAAATATGCCCTATGTTTCCATTTAATTTCATTTACTTCCCTAAGGGCGCGGTTTCGACCTCGTCTAAATTTCATCATTACTCAGACTGGAATCACCTTATGCGGCCTAGGCTGACTAGAACCCTTATTTGGACTTTGCTTAACCGCCATCCCTTCCAAAAATGACGTCTAGCAAAGGTACAATTAATGCTTTTTTCTTTTTAACTTTCTTTTCGTCTCCAGCTGGGCTTCTAGATAGCTTTGGACTGGCTTTTACCACAGTAGCCGTCTGTCAGCTTCTTGGTTATTCTGACGTCTTTTTGGCACTATCGGAAGACCATGCCTGGGTGGAGTTCAGCAGTAACACCGGACCTCGAGAAACGGCCGATGTTTCAACCATCGTGCCTTATCAGGCAGCTGCTGCCTCGCTCACAGCAACGGCCGTCGCGCCTATGGACAAATCGACTTCCATTTCAGGATCTGCTTCGCCAAGCCCTGCTTACGCACCCAACAGCTATACTCAGACGGGCAGTGATTCTGGACCTGATCATCGAAATGTTGGCCACGGTTCCTCCACCGCCGAACTTTCTCATAGCCTGATTCCAGGCAAAGACTCAGCAAATATTATTGTCACCGCTGACAATAGTAATATTGTCCCGACCGTTGCTTCGGAAACATCGGCATCGAGTTATTCTTCTGGTACCGAGCCCCAGCTGCTTATTGGCTCCATCCCTCGCTCCTCAAAGTCTTGGTTATACGTCAATGGTAGACCCATCATCTGCTCGCCCCCAATTATTGCCTGCGCAGCCGCAGTGGCTGCACTTCAGCCTGGTTCTAGCTGCCCCACAGCCTTATCACTAGCCCAGGCACATGCCATAC